GCCTTGTAACAAAGCACTTCACAACTCAGTGACTTGAAACAATAATCATATATCACTCATGTCTCCAAGTCAGCTAGGGATTGACTGATCGAGGCTGGGCTCAGCTGTGGTAGCTTGTTGATGTGGCTCTGTGTCACACGTCTCTCATCCTTCTGGGACTCATGGTGATGGCTAGTTCCTAGTGATGGCAGAAGTGCAAGAATGCAAGAAAGGGAAACCTACTCTTTTTTCTTTTTCCAAGTGTGAGAAATTGTACTCCATCCATGGAGGTGACTCTTTATGTGTGTGTGTGTATGTGTGTGTCTATCTGAACATTAATCTACCATAGACTTCCTTCCCATTAGTTCTTCCACACTACTGGGATTTCTAATCAATTCTCAATGGTCATCACCCTCTTTGTGTCTTTAGTTCCCTTCTTACTTTGTTTACATTTGATCTAGTTCTAAATAAGAACTACTCCAGAACCCAGCCTTGGTCAAGGATGCCTCTCAGTGACTCAGTTTCCACACTGGAAATGACCATGACCGAAGCAAACCACAGCCCTTTTGACTGGGCTTTTAAAAATTTGACCACAAACCTCAAGTGGGCCCCCAGTACTGCCTGGAAATCTGTTTTTCTCTCTTTGGTAAATCCTCCTGCTTGGCTCCCCCTCTCCCTTCAGCTCCTTATTTCACCAAGGATAGAATAGCTTCCTTATCTTTTCCTCCACCAGAGTCTTCCAACTTGCCAGCATCGACATCACCATGCTCTCCTTTCCTTCCTGTTGACAGAGATGAGTTCTGTCCCTGCTGAAGGCCAGACCTCATGTGCAATGACCCCATGCCTTCTCTCCTGCTCTTGGATCCCCCTGCCCTCTCCTACCTCATCCCTTTTAGCTTGCAAACCTGCTCTTCCAAATCTCATCAAATCCTCTCTTGTCCTCATAGGGCTCTCCTGTTATTGCCCCCTTTGTTGAAAAATACTTTAAAAGAATTTCCTTTACTTACTTGCTATCCTTCCTGTCTTCTGTCCTTCCTTGAAACTACTACAATCAGGCTGCCCTCGCCAAGGTCACCAGTGGCTTCCATGCCACTAAAATCCAATACTCTCATCTAGTAGTGCCATTTCTGGGTGTATACCCAAAAGGAGTGAAAGCAGTGACTTGAAGGGATATTGCACCCAGTGTTCATAGCTACATTACTCACAATGTCCAAAAGGCGGAAAAAAACACAAGTGTCCATTGATGGATGAATGAATAAACAAAATTTGGTATATCCAGACAATGGAATATTATTCAGGCTTAAAAAGGAAGGAAGTTCTAACACAGGATAGAATATGGATGACCCTTGAAGACATGACACAAGGGAAATAAGCCAGATGCAGATGGGCAAATATAGCATCATTCCACTTACATGAGGTTCCTATGGTGGGGAGGGGGAAAAAGTGTTTAATAGTTAACAGTGTTTCAGTTTGGCAACAGGAAAAAGTTTTGGAGATGGATAGTGTGGTAATGATTGCTCAACAGTGTGAATGTATTTAATGCCACTGAATTGTATACTTAACAGTGGTTAAAATAGGGGAGCCTGGGTGGCATAATTCGTTAAGAAAGGGACTCTTGGTTTCAGCTCAGGTCATGGTCTCAGGGTCATGAGATTGAACCCCATGTCTGGCTCCACACTTAGCATGAAGTCTGCTTGAGACTCTCCCTCTCTCTCTGCTCTCCCCTCTGTTCTCCCTCTCAAATACATCTTTTAAAAAAGGTTAAAATATTAAATTTTGTATATATATAGCACAACAAAAGAAATCCAATGGTCCATTCTCATTCTTCACTCATGTGATCTCTTAGCAGTATTTAACACAACGGATCACTGGAACCCCATTCTCTCTCTCTCTCTTTTTTTTTTTTTGCATAAGAACTTTTTTGAGATATAATTTACATACCATAAAATCCAAACAAAGTATATAATTCAGTGGTTTTTAGTGTATACAGAGAGTTGTGTAGTCATCACAATTGATTTTAGGACATTTTTGGCACCCCCCCCAACCCCCAGAAACCCTATACAATTAGCAATTCCCCCAACTGAATCCTGCCCCAGCCCTTGGCCATCACCCATCTAGCTGCTATGTGAAATTGGCCTCCTCTGCACATTTAACTTACATGGAGTCCTACAGTGTATGGTCTTTTCGACTGGCTTCTTTCACTTAGTGTAATGTTTCCAAGGTTCTTACATGTTGTAGCATGTGTTAGTACTTCATTTCCTTTTATTGCCAAATAATGTTCCATTGTATAGATATGCTGTGTCTTATTTGCCCATTCATCAGTCAGTAGACATGTGGGTGTCTCCACTTGTTGGCCACTATGAGATGAATAATGCAGCTGAAAACGTTCACATGCGTGCTTTTGTGGGGACACATGTTTTCATTTCTCATATTCTCACCCTTTAAAGGCGTTTTCACTTAACCTCTGGCACACTGCTGTCTAAAGATCAGCTCCTGGCATTATGTTATGTTATGTTACATTACGTTATGTTCTATTCCTTACTTTTAAGATTTATTTATTTATTTGAGAGAGAGTCTGTGCATGAGTGGGAGAGGCAGAGGAAGAGGAACAGAGAAACTCAAGCAGACTCCGTGCTGAGCGTGGAGCCAATGCGGGGCTCGATCTCACAACCCTGAGATCATGACCTGAGCTGAAACCATGAGTCAGACTCTCAATTGACTGTGCCCCCCAGGTGCCCCTCAACTCCTGGTATTTTAAAATTGATTGCTTGCTCTTCTGAAAAGAGGACTAGGTCTGGGCTTTTAAGCTGTGGGAAGGATCTTGTTCTTTTCAAAATCAATGTCAGAATTTTGGTTTAAAAATATGTTAATTTTGTGTTTCCCTGATAAAGGAGTATCATTTTAACTGATCTACTAAGGAAATGAGTTTTAAGAACTTAGCACGTGCTTTTCTGAGAGGAACGTGGCCAAGCTGCTTGGCCATTTCTTTGCCTCTTAGTTCATGGGACTGCAAAGCAAATGGCCAAATTTCACTTTAAAGGAGCTGATAAGACAAATGGAAGGCTTTAAAATCCTTACCAGAGCTTTTAAAGATGCGAAAGGTTGGTAGAGGTGAACTCAAAAAGTTCTGTATACTTCTGAATTTTGGACAATTTTAAACACACAGGAATATACTGAAAGTTTTCTGTGGAAAGCTGTATTGTGATCTTTTTTCTAAAGGATCTTAGTCCCTCATTTGGCTGTTTGAGAAGTGAATTTTACATTGTTTTAGGTTTTTGTTTTGCTTCAGTGTCGTTTGCTGGAAGTGGGGTACTTTAAGCAGCTCTTTGTATTTTCGGTTGTTCAGTGAATTGTGTCATGAAGCTTTATGTTTAAGTAAAGTTTACAGTTTAAAGAGTATAGTGGTCTGAATGATGTCCTCCAGTAGGATGGCCCATGTCCCAGCCTCTGGAACCTGTGAAGGTGACCTTATTTGGAAAAGAGTTTACAGGTGTCATTACGTGAAGGGTCTCAGGATAGGATCCTCCTGGTATTATTCAGATGGTTTCTAAATCCGGTGATGAGTATTCTTCTAAGAGACCAAAGGGGAGAAGGAGGGGCAGGTCACATGCAGATGGAGGCAGAGATTGGAATCTTATATAGCCATAAGCAAAGGAGGCCTAGAGCCACCAGAAGCTGAAGGAGAGAAGAAAGGATTCTTTCCTAGAGCCTAGGGAGGGGCATGGCCATGCCAACACCTTGATTTCAGACTTCCAGCCTCCAGAACTGGGAGAGAATGAATTCCTCTTGTTTTAAGCCTCCAAATTTTAAGCCTTCCATTAATTTCTCATGGGCAGCACTAGGAACCTAATTAGAGAGGATGCTGATTCAATGATTTTGTAAAGGGAAAACATCTTGAGTGGCAGAGGGAGAAATGCTTTTGTTCTGTGAATTGCTTGAGGCCCCTGTTACTCTTCCCCCGCACCCCCTCCGCCCTTGAGCTGCTCTGCCCCTACTTCATTTTCCTCCATCCCCTTGCCTCCACTTCTTGGTTCTGCTCCTTCCAAGCTCTGCCCGGAAGTTCCTCGTTACTTCCTGTTAGAATATTTCCAATTTTCTGGACAGTCTCTTCTTTTAGTGGAACTGTGGGCTTTGATCCTTTCCATTGACATGGTACTTACCTCTTTAGATGGCCAGGATGGGGGTCCCAAATTCAAAATGTACAAGCATTCTGGATGTATGAAAACCAAAACCAACCACAATAATGCAAGAACAAAGCTAAATGCCTGGAAAGAGGTATGACTGGTGACCAAATGCTGTGCCTCAAGGGGCTGTTTCTACTTAACTCCAGGAAATTATTGCCACAATGTATTGAGGAACTAGTGTTGACAGATCTGATTTTTTAAAAGAAGCTGGAAATCTGGATTTTTCTGTAAATCCCCTGATTTTTAGATAAGGTAACTATTCATAGTAAGAAACAAAACCAAACCTCAAAACAACTAGCAAAAAAAAAAAAAAAAAAAAGTGCGTGTGTGTGCATTTGTGTGTGTGTGTGTGTATGTACCAAACAAAAACCTATCTCTAAGGTCCCACTGGCCCATATATCCCATTTTGCAAGGGGACCCTCTGTCTTAGGATGTAGAGGTGGTGGGTAGGATCATTGCATATATTTCTTGCATCTTTTGGGGCTCTTTAAAAATCTCCATCTCCAAAATGCTAAGCAACAGAAGTGTCCTCAAAGGTTTTTTAGGTCGCTATCGCTTTCCTGAGCCTGCCTTGCCGAATTTAACAACACAGAGACACTTGAACATGTTAAATATTTTATTCACATTGTTTACAAACTATATCCACCTGGAAAACACGAGTCCAAAAATGGATTATTTTACAGTAATTCACATTTTTTTAAAAACAAATTGCTACAAAGTGAAGCTCTAAGCACGGAGGTCCTCAGCCTGTCTCGTGGTTCAGTGCCTGGTTGCACAGAGCCCCCCCACTCTACTGGGGTAGCAGTCCTCAGGGCAGACGGCCTCATCGCAGGTCACCAATGACTTCCCTACCAGTGAGCGATGAGGAGATGTCAGTGCAGACTTTAACCGGTGAACATTTACTGATAGCAATTCACCGTTCCTTCTTTTATCAAGGAAATAGTTTTAGAGCTTGAGTACATGCCAGGAAGACAAAACAAAGGAGACTTCTCAGGTAATCAGCCATTACAGAGTTATCAGGACCTGGCCCGTTCTATAAAGGTTGAATGTCTGGGCCGCAGACAGAATGGACAAGCTACAGTTTTGTGGTGTTGACGGCCCGGATCAGAAACAGTAGTGATTTGGAAATTGGTGCGAGGATCTGTGGACTAACTCAGCTACCCTCCCTTCCCACCACCACCAGGAGAAGAGGGGAAATAAACTCAGTAGGAATTAATAATGTGCCTAATTTTAAGTGTGTGGCCCTAGAAAGATGGCTGTGGGAGTTGGCTGAATGCCCCCAAAGATACTGTGGTTCGGAAGCTTATTATTTCCCTATGCTAAATCCAATCATGCCCTCCAGAATGGGGTCCAAAACAAAAACAAAAACAAAAACAAAATCAACAAAGCATGTCCCCTTTTCTTTTATTAATTAAGAAACTTTTCTATGGCATTTGGCTTTAATGATTTAAAATCTATAGTAGGTCTGTCTTACCCACATCTCACCCCCTCCTACCAAAATAACTACCAAAGAGTCACTTTTCCTGTTTTTCCTTTGCGAGCTGCCACAGTTAAATATGAGAAAACTTTTGAGCCTTTGGAAGGGGAGCCCCTGGTTGAATCTCAAATGGCAGAAGTGGGTCCTTTTTCTCAGAGTAGCACCAACAGCACGGGCTATCGTGTTTCTGTAACTCTCGATTAGGGGAGGAATGTTTGTCAGGGAACCACAAAAGACCATTCCTTCCTTCCCTTGGATAAGAAAACACAGAATTCCTTAAAGGGTTGCTTCACCGTGGGAGCAGACAACAACTCTGAATCCGAATGGAAGCTGAGAGGTGGAGAAATGTTAGCACATTTGCAGGTTAACACGATGACACAACAACAACAACAACAACAACAACGAGACTTTCAAATGTCTATTGCGATGCGATTGTTTGAGAAGACAAGAAATCTGTAGAAGGAGCTTGATGATGGAGCAGATCATAGCTTGTCTTCCTGCCACCCGTGTGCATTTTTTCCAAACTTGTACACTAGCCTTCGGTCGACCCGTTCCAAAATTCCTGTTTTGTAGTAGTACCTGAGAAAGACAGCAGAAGAGAAATGTGGGGAGACCCGCACCCCAGGAAGACAACAGAATAAAAACACTCTTCTCATTCCTCTCGGGTGACCAGGCTGGTTTTCGGTAACCCTGGTATTTCCACACCCTGCTATCAGCTTACACTTAAACCTTTCCCAGACAGCTTGAAGGCTAAGCCTCACCACGCTCAGATCAAAACGCATTTTGTGTATGTATGTGTGGGACGGCCGGCATTCAGAGTGATCCCCAGGGCCATTGCCAAGAATGAGGACGGCGTGTCCATTTACAAACTATAATCCCACCTGTAACTAAGAACCAGAGTGTTGTCTCATGACCTTTCGATTATCAAGGAAAAAGCTGCAAAAACAGTTTTAATTTTCTATGGCTGGCCGTTTTGTATAACTCTGCCCGAAGGCTCATGGTGTTTCATGCTATTAACTCACCTCAGAGCTCGGCTCAACTTTTCATACGTCATTCTGTCATTTTTCTTCCTTTGTCCCCACATCTTTGCCAGGGCTTCTGATTTTACTACCCGAAAAATACCTTGTTCCCTATCTTCCCATTCCAGAATACCGCAGTTTTCTTCAGGAGAGAGAAGCAGGTCTCGCACAAATTCCCATAGATGAGAACTTTGGAGGCCTTTTGAGAAAGAAAAAAAAAGTTACTTAACAGTTAAAAAAAATTCTAAGAGTTGTACCATTTCTCATTAACTCCGAGAATTGCAGCTTTTTTTTTTTTTTTAAGATTTTATTTATTTATTTGTCAGAATGAGCACAGGCAGACAGAGTGGCAGGCAGAGGCAGATGGAGAAGCAGGCTCCCGCTGAGCAAGGAGCCCGATGTGGGACTCGATCCCAGGATGCTGGGATCATGACCTGAGCCGAAGGCAGCGGCTTAACCAACTGAGCCACCCAGGCATCCCAAGAATTGCGGCTTTTTAAATGGGGATATTTTCCATATTATGACCAAGTGCTCTACTTGGACCTGCATTGGGCTGTGAAATATTTCTCTTCTATTAAAGCAATTGTAAGGGACACCTGGCTGGCTCAGTCAGTTAAGTGTCTGCCTTCAGCTCAGGTCATGATCCCAGGGTCGTGGGATCGAGCCCCGCATTGGGCTCCCTGTTCAATGGAGAGTCTGCTTCTCTTTCTACCCCACCGCCTCTCTCTCTCTCTCAAATAAATAGAATCTTTAAAAAAATAAAGCAATCATAAAATACACATACAGGAACACCGAATTTATACCGACTAGAAACACCGTGGCTCCCAGCCTGTCCTTGCTCTGTGGAACTATGGAATAATTCTTAGGAATTAATAAAATGACAGTCATATGATCTTTCTGACAGACAGTATGATGGTACTAATATTCCATAGCCACGCCAGTCTGGCAGACTGATTCTACAATGAATTTTTTCATGAGAAGCTGGTGTTTCTCTTGGTCCATTAGAGTTGTCATTAAGACCGGTTCTAGTGTCCAACCACCTGGGTTTGGGGCCTGAATTTACCTCTTTGTAGCTCTGTAATCGTAATCTCTCCAGTTATCTGTAAAATGGGACCAGAGGGTTACCTACCTCATGGGAGAAGTTGGAGGATTATGGTTTAACAATAAAGTGACTGGCATCGAGTGGGGCAGACTTGATTCGGCCCTGGGTAGGTCTGTCTTAGGGCCAGGAAAGGCTATGAGAATTGCTAACACCCAGTGTTTACTATCGTCCCTGAGGACTTAAGAGAGAAGGACCCTTGGAGTGCCTCGGTGGCTCAATGGGTTAAACCTCTGGCTTTGGCTCAGGTCATGATCTCAGGGTCATGGGATCGGCCCCACATCGGGCTCTCTGCTCAACAGGGAGCCTGCTTCCCCCTCTCTCTGCCTGCCTCTCTGCCTACTCGTGATCTCTGTCTGTCAAATAAATAAATCAATAGAGAGAGAGAAGGACCCTTAGCAGACCGGGAGAAATAAACCCTTATTCAGAAATTCACCATGGTTAGACAATTTCTTCGCTTCGCCATTTTAATTCTCACAACACCATGTCCAAGTGAAAAGAAATGTAATTCTGATAACAGTTTATCTGCTGTTTTCTTTGGGGAGCCCCTGGTCCCCTTCAAACGTTCAGTGTCCAAGCTTATTAGAGTGCTTTGTCTCCTGAACGGTTTTAGGAGATTAGAAATGAGGAAGGGCATCGCTACACTTACTTGTTCGACTATGACTGTGACAGTCTTGACTTTTGATGCCGCTTGTTTTCAAGCAGTTAGAATCAGCATCTGCAATAGAACGAGTTACAGCAATAGAATGAGTTCAGACCTCCAATCACACCAAAATGAGCAACTATGAACGGGACACATTTGTGGTAGGAGATCCCACAGGAGGCGCTTTGGGGGTCATTAGGAGGTCGGAGGTGTTTGCCTTTGAAGGGGGCAGCATTTGTATTCAAATACTAGGGACCTGCCTGGTGCCAGGTTCTGGGCTCTGTGCTGGGAATAAGCGAGAAAGAGTTCTGGTCCCCATGCACTTGGAATTCAAGGATTCGTGGGCAAGGTACAATACTAGTCAAACAAGTCCCCCATAGTGAGTGTTATGAAAGCAGCAAGACATGGGGTAGAGAATGAAGGGTTGGTGGGGGCTGCCTGCTTAGAGTGGCCAAGGAGGGCCTCGTGTGCAGGAGGCATCTACGCTGATGTGAGGAGGCTAGAGAGGCATCCAGAGGGAAGGAGCAGCACAGACAGAGAACCACTGAGGCATGTGGTGTTCCCAGGGGCGGGGAGGAGGGGGGTTAGATGATGATGCTGGGGAAGCCAGCTGCCCACAGAGCCCACGGGGCCTTCCTTGCCAGCCCACAGTAAGCACTTGGGATTTTGTTCAAAGAATAAAGTGAAGACTTGGGAGTTTGACAAGATACACATTTTAAGAGAACTTCTGTGACTAGTGTGTGGGGAACACACTAGCAGGGACACGAGTAAAAGCTAAGAGACCAGAGCTTAGGAATAGCAGGGAGCAAGGCATCAACTCAATACAGAACTCAGTCAGGACTCATGCTGTAAGTAATAATCTGAGACATGTGCACAGCGTTATTTCAAAGGAGTATATGATATCTAAAAAAAAAAAAAAAAATGGTAGTGCCCAATATCCTCAGCCTTGCCGCTCCCCTGGCTCACTTTGCTCTAGCCATACTGGCCTCCTGCCTCTTTCTGAGACTCCCCCTCACCTTCTACCCCAGGGTCTTTGCACATGCCCTCCCTCTGCCCTAAGGCCTCTTTCTTTGGATATCCATGGGTTGGGCCCTCCTCTCAATCTTCACTCCAAGTCACCTTCTCAGTGGAATCACACACACTCACTCCTACCCAGCATTCTGTGTCTACTTCCCTTATTATTTTTTTGGCCACAATACTTATCATCATCGAACATAGGATATTGTGTATTTATTTATTTAGTTCACTCTCTGTTCCCCAGAAGTCAGGAATTGATGTTTCCAGAGGTATCCCCCAAACATGTAGCCCTGAGCACGGCACATAGTAGGTGCTCAGTAATGTACTGGGCAGCCGCTAGACCAGATGCTAGTCTATAGCAACCATATACATGGTATAGTCTAGTAGGTATATTATGTCATAATCTGGATAAAAGAATAAGTATGTTGTCAAGGAAAGGAATAGTGTCTTGTGTACCACACTGCTGCCCAGGGCAATCTCAGTGCCACTGGCTCATGTCATTCCCTGGCTTACCGTCCTGCGGTTGCTTCCCCATTGTCTCTCAGATGAAGGCCGCCACGCTTGTTAGGACTTTGATAGACTGATCCCCACTCAGCAATCTGGCCTTCTCTGCTGCTGCTGCCCAACTTCTTCCCTTTTGTTGGTTTAGAGGGTCCCAGTGTTGCTTGGCTTTCTCCTGCCTCAGGGCCTTTGCATGGCTCCCTGCTCCCTAGTTCCACTGAGCTGACTTGTACTCTCCAGACCTCTTCAGAAAGTCTTCTCTGAACTTTCCGTCTGGGTTAGATCCCCTCTCTGTTCCACACACTGGTGTGTTCCTTAGTATCACAGCACTAGTCCACACCACTGTAAGGACAGACCTCGTCTCTTCTCTACTATAGAGCACTTACTAAATGCCAGATGCCTGTTAAGTGCTTCACATACATTATCTGTTTCAGTCCCTGCAGCCACCCTATGTGGGACTAGGGCTACCTCTATTTTATGGAGGAGGAAATTGAAGCCCAGAGAGTCTAAGAATTTTATCCAGAGTGGTGGAGGCAGAGCTTGAACCAGAGCAGGTCTGTTCTCAGAATTACTACTCTATCTTGTCTTTCATAGTAGGTGTTCAATGCACACTTGGTGAATAATTATTAGCTGTGTTTGGTGAGTGTTTACTATCGCCAGGCACTCAATTTCACCCATCCTTGTGATGAACGTCTATTTCTATGCCCATTTTACAGAGAAGTAAATGGAGGCACAGTGAGGCTCACCGCAGCTCATGCACTCATTCGCTCATTCATTCATGAGCGTTGAGCCACAGTGTGCTCACTGGTGCGGGAGGCACAGGCCGAAACAAGTCACTCCTCTTGGGGACTTACATCCAAGTGGGTACAAACATCTAATGAACAAGCAGTAACTGTGGAGAATACTGAAGCAGGGTGAGGGTAGGGAGACCTTGGGGGTAGGAGAAGGGGGGTGAGCAACCTTGCACTCTTAATTAGAGCCAGTGGACAAGACTCCGGAAGAGGAGTGGGCAAGCAGCCAGCCCCGGGGAAGTTTGCCGGGCACAGTTCTGGTCACGTACCAGGCCAGGGGCAGAGCCCAACTCTGCACCCAGGCCCACTGGCCTTAAGCCCTCGGCTCTAGTAGCTACGGCGCATGTCCGCTGGAACGAACAATGACAGGAACGCGGGCCTTCAGCTTTCAGGGTGCTCTCTGCACCTTTTTCACGGGCTATGGGCTGGAAACGCATCGATGGGGAACACCAGGTCCATGCACCCAGGCAGGGGTGTGCAAAGCCCAAATGGAGGCCCTGGAGGACTCAGCTGACAGAGCCGCCGGGCGGAGGGGGTGTGAGCGCTTGGGCAGGGGCGGAAGGGGTGCAAGCACTTGGGCAGGGCCAGCAGGGCGGTGACTGGAGGCGAGCGGGCGGCCCTTCTGCCTGCGGAGCGCCGTGCTGCCTGGCGCCACCTGCAGGGCACGCCGAGCGCTGCTTCAACTTCATCTTTGAAGAGGAGAGAACGCAAACAGAGGCGCGAGATAAACCCAGGTGAATTCTGAAGCGGTGAGAAGACCGAAAGCTTGCCCTGAAATGCCAAAATGGCAAGAAGAGGGAGGGAAACCTCGCCCTTTTCATGTGTGGGATTTCTCCTGTGTGCCGCGGATGAGGGATCTTTGGCTTGGTGGGCGGATCCCGGGACAGGTCAGTGTGATGTGGAGTTGTGTGGCCCGTGGGGGGTTTCTCCTTGTGGGTCTTGTCAGAGATGTCCCTATGTTGTCTGCTCCCAGTTCCCAGTGGTGGCTTTGATGCTACTCCCGGGTCCAGCTCGCTCTCCTGGGGGTGGCCGTGGGGTGGCCATGGGGGCAAAGGCATAGTAGCTGTCACCAGCATAGCTGGGCTGAGAGGGGTCACCAAGTCACAACCTCCATGGCAGCCCCCGGACCCCACTGAACTCCCCTGCAGATGTCCCCTGTGCACTGGCGACAGTTCCCCCGACTCCGAACTATCTTCCTGTCAGAGGGGTCCCCGCAGCTGGGCGGTGCCTGGTGTGGGGCAACGTAGCCTGGGCTCTCTGCTGTCTGTGCGACTTGGAGAGGTTCGGTGCCTTGAGACTGGAGACTGTTGAAAAGTGGCCACAGGATATATTCTTGGTCATTGACTGAAGTCCCGAAGCAGAGACGGGGGCTGGAGGGGCAGTTTCCAAAACCAGCTCTTGATGTCCCTAGGCCACGAGGGCTGCTAGAGAGCCCACCCTCTGTGCCAGGAGGAGAAGCTCTAAGCCTCAGAACAGAAGGTTCCTGGGGCAACCCGAGGCCTGCAGGCTTGGTTTTCTGGCATTTTGGCAGTGGGGGTGAGAAAAGGGTCGGGGGGGAGCAGAGACAAGTGGCAAGTGGCTGGGGGGTATCACTTGGGCCAGCCCGATGGCTTCAGAGCTTGTCGGGGCTGGGCCCTTTCCACAGGTACTGAGTTAAAAATCATCTTGTTCTCTGGGTCACTGCAGACCTGGGCCCAAACCTAGAAGAGTCTGGAGCCTTGGATCTCAGCTGAGGTGGGCAGTGGAATGAAGGGAAGGGTTTAGAGGTATGTGCACCTGTGTGTGCGTATGTGTGTGCGTGTGTGTACATATGAGCATGTGTGTGTGTGTGCATAAGTGCATATGTGTGTGCATGTGTATATGGGAGTGCATACGTGTGTGCGTGTGTATGCATGTGGTGAATGGCCCAATGTATAGAAGCACAGACGTCGAGAAAATGAGTTGGAATCTCATCTGTACACTTCTTTGCAAGTTCCTACTCTTCTGGTTTCCTCAGATGTAAATGGGGGCAAGCATCCTACCTCAAGGAGTTAGAATGAGGATTCAGTGAGTTAGAGCAGGTAAAACCCTCCGCCCGGCGATGCCCGGGGCACAGGGCTCCATAGGCGGTCAGGGTAGATGTTCGTCTTTGCTGCAGACTGATGGGAACGCTGCTTGCAGCCCTAGGATGTCAGCTGTCCTTGTTGGCCCGGCCTTGGCCTCTGGCCAGCACATCTCCTTTCTGCATTGGGGGTGACAAAGATCACGAAACAACAGCCGGGCCATAGGCATCGTGATCATACATCCTGGATTTTCTAGAACAGGCTCATTGGATAATCTGTCAGTACATTGTCTTCGTTATTAAACCATATGTTGGGGGCTCTGCTTTGGGAGAGCTGTGGGGGAGCCAGAGATGGGCCTCAGGGGCCACATGGGAAGACCATGGTTTCCTGACTGTGGCAATGGAGGCCGCCATTTGGCAGAGCTGTGGTGCTGCTTTTCGGTGTGCTCACGGACCACTTAGCCCTGAATTTGGTCTAGAAAAGGTGCCTCTCTCTTTGGTAAGCCTGGCAAGGCCTGCATGGGGCAGAGCCTGGGGCAGCTGCCATCACGAAGGGTTTGTCTCCATAGAGATGCCAGTTCAGAGCCCGTGTCTTATCACCACCTTTATCTCCAGAAAATTCTCTCCATCCCTCCCATCACTTGGTCTGGGCCTCCACCATCACTCTGCCTCTTGGATAGCAGCCTCCTGGCTGGGCTCCTTCCTGACCAGATACAGCAATCTGGAGGGATCCTCTTAAAATACAGATGAGGTTTTATTGTTTCCTCTTTCAGTGGCTTCCAAGTCTGCTCAGAATGAAATCCAAACTCAAAAGCCGTATGTGACCTGCTCCTGCCCTGCTCTTGGCCTCAGCTTCCATTCCTCCTCCTGCTGTTGTCGCTGATGATCTACCAGGGTGCTATCCAGGAGACCCATGAAGCTGGAAATCTGAGCAGTCCCGAATGGTAGCCACTAGCTGCCTGTGCTATTGAGCACTTGGAATGTGACTCAGCAGCTGAATTTTCACTTTATTTAATTTTAATTAAACTTCATGGCTGCCTGTGGCTACTGCTTACTGCATCAAGCCTCCTGGTACTAGTTTTTTGATTCTTTCTCAAGGACTCCAAAACCGTTCCTGCCTCAGGGCCTTTGCACTTGCTGCTCATGCCCTGTACCCTTTTCTTCCCTCTTCCTGGCTAACTTCTGCTCATCCTTTAGGCTTAATTTAAATAGTTCTTCCTCCAGGAGTTCTTCCCTTGTCCCCAGTTGAAATGTAATCTGTCCCCCATCACACAACACATTACCCTGTCCTTTTCTTTTTTAGTATCATCATACTTAGCCATTGCAAACTTACAACAGGGATTATTTGTTTAACATCTTTCTCTCTCTCTGCTTGCTTTATAAGGGAAAGACCAAGGTTGCACTCGTTGGTGCAGCCATGGCACATAGTAGGTGCCTGGGCCTGGCTCATGGTAAGTGTATACTAAATGTTTGCTGAATGAATGAAAAGGGAAAGGCAGGGATGCATGAGGGAAAGAAGGGGTTAAGTGCTTCAGATTTAGCCACACCTGGGTTATTGGTCACCTTCCTAACCTTGTCACCTTTAATCTCTAAGCTTTAGTTGCTCTGTGGTACAAGGTCTTGTCTTACAGGGTTATGAGAAAGATTACCTGAACTTTACCAAGATTCTAGCATGGGGCCTGGCTCATTTTAAGCACTTGGTGAATGCTAGCTGCCATTATTATTATTACTGCTATTGTTATTATTATTATTATTATTATTATCATTGCCATGACTCTAATTGGGGCTCGGCCTATACTCAGGTAACAAGTTTTAAAGAACTTATGGGACACACTATCTCTGCTGAGCTGTGAGGCAGGCAGGCTGGCAAAAAGATACCCATTTATAGGCAGAGGCACTGGTCAAACTCTCTGCTGCTCAGGAGTATGGCAGGTACCTGCCCTGGGATCGAGCCCCTAGACAGAATCAGTAATGGCCCCCGGGCCTCAGTGGGCTCCTTTCTTTCTGAGGGGCTTTGCCTGGACTGGGCTGGGTGGTTCAGCAGGGTTTGTATGCCACAGACCACTGTGGATGGATGGGAAGGGATTCCAGGCCGGGCCAGGAAACTCCATGGGAGCTTTGTTCACAGGCAGGAGGAGAGGCTCTGCCCTCTGGCCTGAGAGTGGGGAAACCTCATGTTGAAGGCAGAGCTGCTCCTAGGAGGGCCGTGAGGGTCTGTGGGGCACGGCGGGCCTCTGTAAGTCTGCAGCGTGGGCTTGATGGACCCAACTATTCCTGTGCTAAAACTCTGAATGAGATAACCTGCTTTAACCAGATAACCTGAATCCTCAGTTGATTGCTTGGGACTCTCAGGACAGGAAAAATGTCATAAGAAACCATCCTTCCATGTCGGCCCCTCTGAGGCCTCGGGACTCCTCCCCTCCCCCCCAATACTCTGTCCTCCCTCTGCCGCTAAAGGGACTGAAGTCCACAGAGGGAAGGGGCCTGCCCAGGACCCACGTCTCCCAGTGGCCCCGAGGCCAGGGCCATCGTGTGGCACTCAGGAACCAAAAGCAACAACATCATCCTGTTTAAAACAATGAAAGCCTAAACCTCCATCTGCAAAAGCGAGACAGTGTTAATTCTCAGAATCAACAGGCCGCTGGAGGGCCTCCATCATCTTAGAATTACAAAGCTTCGTGAGCTTGGATAGAGACATTGTCCACTGCGGAGCCCCCTGGGGTTGTCATTATGGTAATTGTTGTTCACAGAGAGCCGTACTTGGAGCATCTGGGTCACAGACACTTCATATGTACTGTTTCTCTAACTCACCACAACTGGGGAGGGTCGCTCTGTTTTACAGATAGGGAAACTGAGTCTGGGGGAGGACGAGGAATCTGTACACCCAGACCCCACGCTCTGCCCCCCACATTTTCCCTGCTGTCTTCTCCTGGTCTGTGACTGTTTCGGTCATCAACTTCTTGGTTGTGGTAAAAAAAGAACCGTCAAGCCCATGCGCCCACCGGTGGCCTTGGGCACCACCGCCTTGGGCCGCCTGAACCTGGTTACTTACAGTCTTTGATGGCAGCCTTGGTCTCTTCAGTGTCAGTAAAGAAGGAGTAACCTGGGAAGGAAAAAGAAGTCCACAAACTGTACCAGACGATCCTGGTTTCCCGCCTGGAGAGGGGCTGCCTGGGAGAAGGGGAACACTTAACTGTCCCCTCTGCTGGGTAGTTTTGTTTCAGAAAGAACCTTCGAGAACACCTGGCTCTTACTAGGCCATGCTGAAGGCACCTTTGAGAGAGGACAGTCTCCTAGTTTTTAAAGGGCTCCTGGAGCGGGGCCCGGGGCCAGGCATTCCAGCAGGGGGACCTGGGCCCTGACTGAGGTGGGCTGTGTCACTGCCCCTAGTGTGACCTCACTCAGTCTCCGGGCAGACTGTGACAAGACTCCCACTGAGTGAGTTCCCCTTCCACTTCAGCTCGCAGGGTCCGTGGTCTGTGATGGGGCCTCCAATCCCTTGGGGGTTTGAATGCCATTATTATCTGTCAGGGGGCAGACCGACATAGGAAGCTTAAAGGCGTGCAAGACCCACCAAGAGGCTGTAATAAGAATTTGGGAGATTATGTTGGGGCCTTGGTTTGCTCCTCTGAAGAATGGGGTGGGCTGGGGGCCGCGGATTAAGAGTCTCAAATCAAGTTACCACAAGGAGGCACAGGCCAAGGGACATGTCTTTTCTAGCTTGGTGTCCAATAGGATTAACTTCCACTGACTGAGGGGCCTGGAACAGGACACATTTGTAACTGTTTTATTCAGAAAATGTGCCATTTTCTGATGGGTTCCAGTCAGCCGGGGCTCCTGGGCGCACTCTGCCTGGAGGGCTGCCTAAGAACAGGTTGGAGGACTGACCCATTCCACTCCCACCGTGGAAGCCACTCACGGCCCCCCGCCCTCCCTGCTGGCCTCACCCTCCAGTGACCAGTGTCCCCGTGTTTCTGGGCCCTCGAATTCTATTGAGATGCCTCCTGAGCCAGATATCACACTGGGCCCTACCCCCGTGTAACTCCTTCTGCTGTCCAAACTGCCGGAGTCCTAATCCAGGCAGTAAAAAAAGGCCTCAACGAGGTAATAATCAGATTACCATCTAATTTATTGTACAAATGCAGATGCTTTTGAGAATGAAGTGCTGATAATAATTAGTCTGTGGTAACAGGTGAGACAGCGTGTCCTGGGAACACTGAGATGCTGTAAACTCTGGTCTCAACACATGTATTATGGTCGCGATACGCAGTGTACATTCCTGCTTGAGGAACATTGAAGGAGGAATTTCAGCGTGGAGTGGCGTGGTGTGTAGGTAGTTCTACTCCACACGGTAAGGACCCTGGCCTGAAATTCCTCCACTGGAGTTGGCCTAGTGACCCCAGGGATGCCTCAGAATAAGAGGCAAAATACAGCCTGTTGGAAAAACAATTGTGTTTGGCTTGTTTTGTGTGGGTCCTGAGGTGACGGTGCCCAAAATAGGGACTCGGGGATGTAACAGTGTCAGGGAAGGGAGGCGCCCAGGCTGAGAGAACCCAGCATAGGGGCTGCAAGGGTCTGGAGACAAACTTGACTGACGTGATGTTTGGCAAAGGCTGGCAATGCCAAGCTGCATCCCCTTTCAAGATAGAACACGTCCCTCTCCGTGGCCTGGGGATTCTCCGGCTAAGCGGTTCCCTCAGAAGGTTCTGAATGGAGCCCCTCCCTGAGCTGCTGTGATTTATTCAAACTTTCTCCTTTTTGCGGAGGGCCCACTCTATGCTCTGGGCCACTGCTCCTGGCAGGGTGCTGTCACTGGCTGTCACAAAGCCAAGACTGGACAACGATGGACAGAAGGTCTGTTGGTCCCTTCCTCACCCCTGGTGGGTCGTGGCTCCCAAGGCAGAAGCTGAGAAGTAAGTGGCCCAGGGCCAACATCTATAGCTTTCCTGCCCTTGGGCACCCATGATGGGGGAGAGCAAAGGGGAAGCAAAGAATTTTAGAGTTGGAAGATCCTCTGTGGTTTCCTGGCCAAACAGGAATCCCTGCCTCCGCATCCCATCAATCAGGGGGCGATTAGCCTGCTTGATTATCTCTAGTGATGGAGAGCTTCTTATCTTTAGTATCTTCCTGAAGCAGTCTTTCAAAAAAAAAAAAAAAAAAAGAGGCTAACTTTTAGAAGTCTTTCTTAAAATTGAACTGAGATGTGATTCCTTTATTTTTTAAAATATCTTTCCCCTTGGTTATATTCATAATGACAAAAACAGCTGCCATTTACTACATTTGCATCTTTATGTGCTGCTTCGGGTCCTGTTTGACAGAGTCCTGTCACCCGTGAAGGTGTGTGTTATTATCTCACTGTCCAGACGAGACAGAGGACCTGTGGCTTCAGAGTGCTGGAGTCAGTCAGGGTTACAACCCAGATCCTTCCAAACTCAAAAGTCCTTCCTTTGTGTTGACTTTCCATAAAGCAGCTGTGTGTGCTGTGTGACCTTGAAGAAGTCACCCGATTGCTTGGGACCTTAGTTCCTTTATCTGTGACATGGGGACACAGAATTACACGTTCTCAAATAAACCTTTCCAGTCTGAAAACACCTGTTCATCCACATTCTGGTCTTGCGGGGCCTCATGAAATGTTAACTAATCCCACTGGCGCCACCTTCCGGCCGTTTGATCCTTGACCATTAGGCAAGCGCGGATGAAATGTCAATGTCTCTTCTGGAAACGGAAAGGGAAAGGGTCTAGTTCATTTTCTTCTCCTCCTGCCTAATGAAAAGTCGAACAGAAACCCCCTTTCCCCCCGTGTCTTCTGGTGGCAAATCTTAACAGAATACATTATTTTGTTGTATCTGCCTGGTTCCTGAATGTCTTTTTAGGTTTTCTTTTCTTGCTAAGAAAGTACTCAACTTGCTTCCTTGTAACTTGCTCCTTCTGACCTACAGTCTCTAGTTCTAGCAAACAAGCACTTCCAGGGATTGAGAAATGTGGGTTAAGGGGCGTTCCAGTTCCTGAGATCCCCGGTGTGAGTGTCAAGGTGGGGAAGGACCTCCCGCGGTCACGTGGCCCCACCTCCCACCCCTCCCCCTCCCCGAGGCCGGTCCCAGACACTGACCTTGTGAGCGGATGTTCTGGAGGATGAAGTAGAGGTACTCCCCGCAGATGCCGGCCGCCTCGATGAACTCGTCCTGTGTCATGCTGCACAGCTGCGGGCCACTGATGTTGAAGTGGCAGAAGGAGATGCAGTTGGCGTCCAGCTTGTACTGGTCGCAGCAGAACTGGAGCCATTCCCAGACATGGCGCTTGGTCCAGTACTCGGGGTGGACGGACGTCCAGTAGGAGTCGCAGGCTACGGCAGGAGAGAGAGACAAGTGAGGGACCGCGGTCCCCAGGAAAGTGTCCAGGGGGCCCCCTGAAGGAGGCTCCCACCAGGTTATCATCTACATCTCTTGGCTGTAAGTTAAAAGGGCCTCCGGCTTTGGGGTGTTCTTTGGGGGCCCAGGTTTATCTATTCCACTGCACAACCCAGAAGAGACTGGATCTTCCGGGTCCACCTTGGGCCAGGAGAGAGATGGACCTGCGAGAAAACCTGTCATGGCTTGGGAGTGCTGGGGCCTAGTTTTGGTACTTGGAAAGGGGGACTAGAGGAGAAAGGGAAGAACAAGGCCCTTCAGTGTGGTTGGGTTTCAAACAAAAGGGTATCCAGAGCTCAGTCTTTGGCGCCTGACAAGCCTGGGTTCAAACCCAAGCTGGGCTGCTTTTGATCTGGGCAAGGCCATAGACAGTTAAGCCTCAGTTTCCTCATCTTTGCAATGGGTATAATATGCCCAACTCACAGGGCTGTTACACAGTTCGGAGTGGACATGTGTAGGCTATGTAGTGCCCAGAAAACGATCAACCAGTTTGAGAGTTACTAAATGCCTACTGTGTGCCGGGCACAATTTGAAGCCGATTTGATTCCCTCTGCTCTTAGGCACAGTTGCCAACACCAGCTGCCGGTTTGTGCACTGCCTCTGGTCCTCTTGGGCCAAGGGCCTCAAGCTGGTGAGACGTTGCCCAGAGGCCAAGGGAGCTGTGGAGAGGAGAGAAGTCGGGGAGCCGGTTGTATTGTTGCTTTTGTGGTTTTGATGATGTTTTGAGGAATTTCCATCCCAAAGCTGAGACTCCTTCAAAGGAGCCCCATACAAACCCAGACAGAGGTGGGCACCATTTTGTCTGGGAGGCTGAGAAATGGCCATGGGCCTGGCTTGGAACAGAGATTGGGTGTACCACAGATCTGTCCCAATGCAAGGAGAAACAGAAAGGGTGGCATACAAGGGGTGTGGAGGAAGTGAGATACCAGGCATTTGGTTAGTCCCCTCTGACACACAAGTCTTGTGGCTGCCATGGTGCTCATTCATTTATTCATTCATTCGTTCAGTAAATGAGCTTTAGTCTCCTCATTGGCAAGATGGGATAATGATAACACCTATGTCATAGAATTGTTCTGTGGATTAAATGAGCTACTATATGCGGAAGTATTTAGAACAGAGCATGGAATATTCTAATGCGATTACTAAGATGGTCACTGAACACCTGTTACGTGTGAAGCAACAAATTGTGAGCTAAAGATTCATGGTAAGAGGTTTGGTCCTTGTCCCCTGGAAGATAACAGATTTTGAACCTGAGGGTCACAGAGGACTTGCCCTAAAACCCACAGCAAGTGTGTGGCAGAGCTAGGATTTAAACCCTAGTCAGAACTTGAAAGCCATCGCTCTTCCCATTCCGTCATACTGGTCCTCGGAGCATCAGGGCAGAGAAGAGACAAAACAGGGAGAGGCAGGGGCAGACAGAGAACCAGAGAGAGTGAGAAGGCCTGAGGAGAATGGTGGAGAGGAGAGTGTGGCTCAGGCTATGTGAACGACAGAAAAGGTCACTCATGAGCTAGACACCACAGCAAATATCAACCAGGCTATTCTGATTCTCCCATAATGTTGCACGTACTGCCACTGTCCCTAGTGAGTCTGTGGCTCTTCCAATCCCAGGGAGGAGAGATGTTCTCTGCCCTGTCAGGGGTATTGCTTCCGTGGGAGCAACTCCTGTGTGTCCCCTGCTTAAGTTCCTGAAATCCTCCTAAACAAGTATGATTTCACAAAGGAGGAAACTGAGGCTCGCCCTAAAACTCAGAGCCCTCCCGGAAATCTCCTTTCCCACCATGGAGTGGATTGAGGGGTTATCAACTTAAACAATAGATTTGTTTTAATTTATCTTACATTTTTAATCAGAATTTTATATGCATGTGAGTAAAGGTTTGGTACTCTGCCAGGATGGTTGAGGTCAATGTTGTTACCTGTCCCTGGTGGGTAAGGAGATTAGGGGGCTGGCTCTCTCCTTACTTGCTGGTTGCTGCCTAGAGCTGGCCTACTAGCCTGTGGGGGGCCCCTTGCGGCCAATAGGGTCTACTGAGAAAATAGGGCGGCCATTCTCAGGTCTGGTCTGCACTTTCATCTACTGATTTCTGGCTTGAGTAAACCTAGGGGGCCTTTGACATTCCTGGTATTCTGATGAGGGATGTTTATGACCCTTGAAATTCTACCGTCCTTGGTCCTGAGCTGAGCCCCCAACAGAGTGGCTATCGGTGTGCAGCACTTGGAGGACAGACTTTATTTCTTTTCATGAAAAGATTTCGCCAAGTCTCCATTTTCTCCTCTCTCTACTTCCACCCCCTTGTTATTTTCTTTGGCACGTGAAGAGGGCCATGTTGTTTCTGGAAGCCAATGGGCCTAGAGGATTCGGAGAAACGCCCGGGTGGGGGTGGGCACTGACATGAGGAGGTGTTGCTGGCAGGCTCACCTTCCCTTTAGCTCTTTCCTTTGAAGCTCACCCACAGAGCAGGCTTTGTGTGTGGCTCCTTCTGGAAGGAAGCCAGAGCCAGAGCCAAGAATGGCGGGCTCTCCTCACCAGGAAAGGCCTTCCCCCAGCCTTGGGAGCTGAGAGGAAAATGGCTGTTCTCACTACATGGAGGGCAAAGAGAGCCAGCATCATGGGCTGCTTTCTGGTTGTGGTGTGTTTCTATGGTCCTGTTCTCACTAGAGGGGTGCAGAGGTGAGACCAACAGAGGTGAGCAAAGCCTGCTTCATCTGGCCTCTGCTTCATCTGGCCCCATCGTTCCCTCAGGATTGCTCCTGGCCCAGAACAAGGGCTCCATCTACCTTCTCCTAACTGATTCCTACTCATCCTCAAGACCACAGCTCATGCCTCCATCTCAGAGAGACCTCCCATGCCCACACCTCCTCAGGTGTCCTTCTCAGAAGGATTCATGCCTCACAGCCCCCCCCCCCCCCGCCAGCCATGAACTGCACACAGCTGGCCAGATCTGCTTTGCTCACCCTGAGTCAGGAGTGCTTGGGGACTGGCCTGCCCCGCTGTGGGTGCCCAATGAGTGTAACAGACTGGCCAAATGACCAAGGCTCATTATCCCCACTTTATAGGTGAGGAAGAGGAGGTTCTGGGGGATTGTGTGACTCTACGAGGGCTGTATGGCTAGTCAGTAAGGAAGTTAGGTCCAAAGCAATTCTTCTCTCTTTAAATGTGAGAATTTTGTGTCATATCATGGCCTCACTATTCTTGGTTGAGGAGGACCAAGTTGGACACACATCTCCAAGACTGAATAAAAAAGATTTGGACAAAGGCATACGTACACATTACATATAGATATATATATATGATATGATATATATATATATATGATATATATATGATATATATATATATCATATATATATCTTTTACATATATATAAATTTAGGTTACAAGAGGTTTAAAAAATCAGAAGAAGGATGAGATGCTGGTGATGACAAGGTTTGCAACCTCTGTGGTGACATGAAGACCCTATTGACACTTGGAAGAGATAAACTCAGAGTAAATAAAAGTAGGGTTATGCACCCACAGGATATGTTATCTTTAACAAATTGTGTTGTCTGGAAATACAAAGTGTTTTTTTCAGTGCATGGAGCATTTATAAAATAACCAAAACCCTTTGGAGAAGCTGAGCATTGAAACCTTTCTGCCTGTGTGGACGGGGTTGGGGATGAACCACTTCCCCTACCTGGTACCCTTAATCTAAATGTCCACAGGCCACTATTAAGCATGGTCTCAGTCAGCAACTTTGAAGTTGGAAGTAGGTCAGGACATTTGTTCAAGGGCCAGCTACACTGAGAGGAAGAACTGAGCAGCTAAGGGGGTTTTCAGCAATTCCGGGGGAGGGGGTGGAATTCTCACAAGTGATGCTATAACTTGGGATGTGTTTAAATTCAGAGGGAGCACTTAAGCCGGTAGAGCATGGGAGGCACACCCAAATGCCCACACAGTCAGCAGGGAATGTCCACGGAAGGTGCTTAGAACAGAGGCAGGCATGTAGTAAGTGCTCATTAAATACCATTCATGTATACTTGTTAATATTGGGGCTAGCCATATAACTACTTTATACTTTCTCAAATACTTCTAATATGTTGTGTGTGTGTGTGTGTGCGCGCGTGTGTGTGTGTGTGTGTGTGTCTGTGTGTCTGTGTGTGTGTCTGTGTAGGTCAGTCACTTTGTTCCTTTCTAGAGATTTGGATTTATTTTCTTTACAAAAACTGAGGAAGATATATTATAAATGAAGCTCATTTGTCCTTGAATAGCCAGCTTGAGTGAGGTGGCCAATACTGCTCAAAATGTGGGGATACTGGCCAGTCTGTGTGATTTTGTAAAATGCTTGATGCTCAGGTCACACATGAGACCCATGCTTCTGACACTGGGGTGGAGGGGCAGGGGCTAATTCCCATCCCCCTCGCCTACAGTGGACAGAGGGTGACAAGGGTAACTGTGCCCACATGATTAATGCCTGTGCATCTCCCGTGGAAATGCCAGAGAGTGGGTCCAGTAATCCGCGACTTTCATTCTTTGTTATAGACACCTGTGGTCTTCTGAATCTTAGGCAAAGTGCTCTTAAAAAAATTCTAGATCAGTCCCTTTGCCATCTCTTCCAAATGGATTGCTGCCCCTGAGCCCTTTCTACATTGACCAGCACTGTTCATTTTGGGGGAACCTCCCTTGAAGCAGAAATGTGGGGGAGAGTTTGACTTTTCTTCTTACAACAACATAGATATGCAGCAGAATGCAAAATTGGTGAGACCGGAGATTGTGAGAGTTGTTTGAGCTTAGAGCCCTGAGTTAGGTCCCCGGACCTTCTGCAGGAGAACTCGGTCTTTCTCCTCTGCTGATCGGGGAGCCTCGGTGAGAAGCTCTGTGATGCTAAATGAACCTTCCAGCTCCCGGAATTCAATCAGACTCTCGTTCCCATCCTCCATTCCATGGTTCCATCAAATG